ATCCAGCAGCATGAGGGCGGATCGAACCTGCAGAAACGTGGGCATGGGATCCTGAAATTGCAGGAATGATGTTTGTCCCTGGAGATCGGCAGGGAGACCACGAAGCATTTGAAGGACGAGTTGGTGTTGGGAGACTGGTGCATCAACATCATCCAGCCAGTCAGCAAGATTCTGCAGTTGTTGGCAATAGGCTGCCATAGTGGAGTTGCCCTTGACTGTTGTGCGAAATTCATGTTCCAATTGCATAGCTCGAGCATGTTTGTTGTCGTGGAACAAGTCGTGGATGACTTTCCAGAGAGCAGAGGCAGTGGAGACAGAGGAGATGACCAGATCTGAGACCTCATCGGTGATGATGGAGAGGATCCAACCCTGGAGGAGAGCGTCAAGTTGGAACCATTCGTCGTCGTCATCGGAGAGGGGGACGACGGAGCCATCGATGTAGCCCTTGAGGTTGAATCGCCGAACCAGAAGGAGGAAGAGTCGGCTCCACTTTTTGTAATTAGGTTGGGAGAGAATGAGTTGAACGGGGACGTGAAGTTTCACGTTTGAGATTGTTGTGAAAGCAAGGTGAGGAGGTTTGGAGGAGGTATTTTGGGAAGTGATCTCGCTGTTTTCGGCCATGGTGAGGGGAAGAAGAGAACCACCGAGGAGGAGAGGGTGTCGCCGGTGAGGAGAGCTGCCGTGGGGAGTCGGCGCTGACGGCGAGAGAGAGAAGGACGAACGAGAGAGAGAGAGAGAGAGAGAGAGAGAGAGAGAGAGGGGGTTTAGGGTTTTTTATTTTTAGGCTCTGATACCATGTAGAAAGGTTAATTTCATTTGATCAAATATGTGGGAGTACATGTCTATATATACATAAGAGTTCCTAATCCTATACAAGGTAGGAGTCAATAATAGGAAACAATATATTCCTAATCCTATACAAGGTAGGAGACAATAATAGGAAACAATATATTTACATTAAATATAGAATATATTTAACAAATAAACCCAAAATCAAATCTAGGTTTAAAGTCACCGCCGCTACCCGTCTTCTCCAGAGCTTCCGTCGCTCTTGCACCCGCCAGAAGTCGCTACTCAGATCTGAAACATTTGTTAGAGGAGGGATGGACGGACGCCAGAGCTCGGAGCTTCAGTGCCGCCGTGAAAGAAGAATAAGACGGATGAAATGGGAGGAGGTGTGGTGGTGGCTGGTGGAGAAGTAGGAAGAAACAGTGTGGCGACTGGCGAGGAAAGATGAAGAAGATGCTGGACAAGGAAAAGCGAACGGTGGGGGAGGGGGCATGAAGATGAACGAAAATGGGGGAGGTGGAGTGGCAGGAAGAAGTGAAGAAAGTGTTGGTGGGATGAAGGAAAAAAGAAGAAAGAGGAAAACAAAAAAGGGTAGGATAGTCTTTTTTGTAAAAAAAATTTGCCAAATGAGGAATCAGAAAGATTTAAGTGGAACGATCTAAAACGAAAAATGAGAAGAAATATATGGAACGAAAAGAGTATAAGGAGTCTTGACTTGGGTGAGTGCGTGTAAGAAATACTCTGTAACTATTACTCTGTATTTAGCTACTGGAAAATACCTCTCGGCATATAGACATCACCCTAATTAGTAGGATTAAAACATAGAGAAAAGTATCAAAATAGGATTTTCATGTTGTTTTCCCAAAATAAGACTTTGCATTGTGTTAATATGACTTTGCCCTTTGTAATGTGGCAGTATACATGTGCAAATTACTATACTTCTTTGGTAATATATATGACCATGTATGATAATGTAAGTCCTGTTTCGGGAATAAAAAATAAAAGTCCTATTTTGGTATATTTTTAATGTTTTGGTCCTACTTTGGTCTTTCTCCCCTCGGCATATGATTTGGGAAGTACTCCCTCCATTCGGGAATGATGTTCCCGGTTTGATTTTTTCTCATTTTTAAGAGGGGTGGAAAAAGGCTTTAAAATATCTAATATACCCTTGCTTTAAAAATAAGGGATGAGAATAAGAAAGAGGAGAAAGTGGCGGATGGAATACTATTTGCAGTCATTGGGAGAAAGTGGAAAAAGTGTACTTTACAATCCAAAATATCAAAAAGAATTCATATCCCCCCCCCCCAATTTTTTTAACTACCCGCCCAAAACTACCCCTAAAACCCATTCAAAATGGGTTATTACATCACATTAAGACCTCCCACTTTAGCACTTTCCATTTTTAGCAGCCACATTCTTCAAGCAAATTCCCCTTTTAGGAACCAGTCACAACACCCAAGTCTGCCCCTCTTCTTCTTCATGCCCTTTTTCAGTTTCTGGTTCTTTTTGCTTTTTTCCTCTCTTCTTCCCGGTGGCCTGCACGTATAAACGTAAATGAATTTAGACATAAACTCCAAGAATTTGGAGAACACAACGAGGCAGTTGATTAGTGATGCACTACTAAGTCATTGCAAAGAGAATCCTGATGGTACATTTTCAGCTCAGTATGGGCAATTCAACAAACTCGCTTCAGAGTTTAATGTCTGTCGAAAAATAGTCGGCAAGTATGGACTATTGCAAAAAAATAGTTAGAGGATGGGGTTGCCATCGATGTGAGAAGCAGGATTGCAGGAAACAGTGGAAGGAAGAGGGCTTTCATGGATTTAAAAGTAGTTGCAGACACTCCCCTAAGAAAGAGGACCAATCTGAGAGCATTAGCAGCAGCCATTGGGAAGCCTAAGTCCACAGTTCATGAGTGGGTAAAGAGAGGTATGCTTAGGAGCCATTCTAAGACTATCAAACCGTACCTTACAGAAGCTAATAAGATTTCCAGGTTAAGGTTCTGTTTAGATCAGATAGAACCTGATACCATTCCCAGCATCCCTAAGTTTAAGAGTTTTCACAATGTTTTACACATTAATGAGAAATGGTTCTTTATGTCTAAAACCTCCTAGAAATTTTATCTCCTTCCAGAAGAGGAAGATCCATATAGAGCATGTAAATCAAAAAGATTCATAGCAAAAGTTATGTTCTTATGTGTGGTTGGGAGACCACTGTTTGGGGAGAATATAGAACTGTTGTGGGATGGAAAAGTAGGGATATTTCATTTCACAGAAAGACTGCAAGCAAAAAGGAAGAGCAAGAACAGGGCAAGGGGGGTGGTAGAGGTGAAAGCAATCACCAGTGTTACCAAACAAATCACAAAATTACATTTGGATAACTGTGATGGCCACTTTTCTTGGATAGCTGGAATTACTTTATTGATTAGCATTTCATTTCACAGAAAGACTGCAAGCAAAAAGGAAGAGCAAGAACAGGGCAAGGGGGGTGGTAGAGGTGAAAGCAATCACCAGTGTTACCAAACAAATCACAAAGGAAATGCTAATCAATAAAGTAATTCCAGCTATCCAAGAAAAGTGGGCATCACAGTTATCCAAATGTAATTTTGTTCACATATAAACAACATATCAGTCTCAAAAACAACAGCCAACATATCGGTCTCAAAAACAAAAAATTTTGTTAACACAATCTGCTCTAAATGTAATTTTGTTCACATATAAACAACAACCAACATATCAGTCTCAAAAACATATCCCACATCATCATTGTTGATTTTAGGTGCATATACTTTAGTAGTCAGAGGCATATCCCACATCATCGTAGTACTTTTGGTCTCAGACAATGCTAGTAGCAGTCTTCATAGACATTGGCCAAGGCATTTACACATTGCAATTAGCACACACTTTATTCTCAGGACAGAGCAATTGGTACTCAGATCCATTTTCAGATATCCAAAAGGCTCATCACAGTACACACTTAACAGATTCATATAAAATGCACATCACAGTACAGACTTAACAAATTCATACGAAAATGCTCATCACAGTACACACTCTACACTTAAGAGAAGCATAGATTTGAAATTCTTTTCAGAATGAAATCAGAAAGAATTAGAGTGAAAAGAAAGGAACTTCCCTACTTGTACTGTGATGCCCAAAAGTTAAGATCCGGGGTGGGCATTAATATGTTCAACAGATCGATGTGGAGGTGCATGCATGAGTTCATGGATGGAGAAGTCTAATTCTAAAGAAATTCAGACCCCTCTACATCCTCAAAACTGCCATTTTCCTTGCTCCCAATAAGAGAATCTTCCTCAGATTCAAGGACGATAATCACGTTTTTGTCTCTGACCGGAGCAACATCAACATCATCGTCATCGCTGTGGATGACGATGACCTCGTCCTCCTCCTTCACGTCAGAGGTGGATGATAGGTGAATCACCTCGTCCTCAACTCCAATGTCCTGAAATTCCGTCTCAGGGATGATGGAATCGTAAAGAAAGTAATGAGATTCCATGAATTCAGGCGGAGATGTATAGATCTTGGAGAGAAAGGATCGTAATCTAGGGATTGGGAGAGAAGAAGAACTGTCAGAGAGAGAGAGAGAGAGGGTAGATTAGATCTAAAGATGGGGCGAGAGGGTTTAATTGGGGAGGTGGGGAGGTTGGGTAGATTGGAAGAGTGAATGTGAGGATATTATATGAGAGGGGTATTTTAGAGAGATTAGAGGAAAAAGCGTACAATGGGAACATCATTCCCGGACGAAAAAACGTACAATGGGAACATCATTTCCGGACGGAGGGAGTATCTATTTATAAGTGTCTAGTATTTAGATCGGTCCATCAAATTTACATTAAATAAGTGTCTAATGTAATACTTTAACATTTTTATTATCTAAATAGTACTTGAATAATGTGTAGTGACGGGAACAATGTCCAATAAAGGTAGACATTTAGTTCGAACAATGTTCAGTGTGACGGTTGACATTTACTTGAATAAAGACAGACCTATGAATAATAACCAATGGTACTATGTTAAGATATAAAAATATATGATACTACTTTAGAAAAATCACTATAATTTATTCATATTTAGGTAAATTTTTCATTTACTTCTTGTAAACAAGGAGAGAGCTTTTGTATATGGTGCTAAAACAACTAAAATATAAATTTTCTCTCAGATTTTTTCTTGGGAGCTCTTTTTATTTTTCATATTTTTTAATGGGTAAAGCTATTTGTATTCCAAGGGGTGTACCCCATTTTGTACAGGGATGCACCAACATTTTGAGTTGGTGTAATGCTAATTTTTGTTAATGCACTAACATTTTGTGTCAGTTTAAATTTTTGTTAACACACCAATATTTTTGTGTCAGTGTGAAACATCAAAATGTTAGTGTATACTTGTGGTGTACAAATGAGATACAAATTTTGGGATACATGTACTATGCTCCTTTTTTGATATTACATCTTTAAAATCTGACAACACAATAACATTGAATCTCTCTATGGTGGCAAATTGCACGGGACACAGAGGCCGGAGGGTATGATAGAGTTATGAATTAGGGTTAGTTTAAGAATTATGAAAAAGATATCTTGGTGTATTTAATTCATTAATAATTGATTTTTTTGAAGGCATTAATAATTGATTACTTCGTATTTATTTAACTATATACTACCATTTTTGAGGACTTGTCCAGTTTTGACTTTTTACAGTTAGTCGTTTTCAAACTTTGACATATAGTTAAATAAAATTCATATTGTATATTAATTAAATAAAAAAATATTTTGAAAATATTTTATTAAATGAATCTTATAAAATTATTTTTGTATCAATGTCAAATACACTCTTTGTCCCGCAAAACTTTTCTTATTTCTTTTAAATTGTATGGTACTGTATACATTGACAAATACTCAGGGATGGATGATGTATTAGTTATGAAAACCAATTGTACGGTACTATATACATAAACAAGCTATATTTTATGTCATTTGTGTAAATTCTTTAAGTAAACTCCACTCAATTTCTTTACTTTCAATGTATTTTCTCTCATAAGATAGCACTAGCCATGAGCACACACCTTTCCATAAATAACAAGAAGTCAAGATACACACACCTTATTAGGTTTAGTTAAATCATTTTGATGAGATTCATAATAGAAAATGGAATTACAAATTCTAGTAGACAAAAGAAAAATAATTAAAAAATATTAGATATTGTGACTAATAATGTACATATTGTGACTAATTTTTCCAGGCATTCCCAATACGATTGAGGGAGGAGCGCACAAACTCTTTCCATATGTTGCATGCAGAAGCGATTATGATTGTAGAGTAGACCCCGATTGTCACCATTGCAATATTAAACTAAAGAGATGCTCGTGTGGAACTAGAACTGACACTATTGTTTCTCAAGTTGGAAAATGAAGGCCAAAAAAGAATCTAAGACACCAGATGAAGAGAATTAAATATATATACCTTAAAATATGAAATAAAAAGATGCAACAGAACTATGTTTCAATGTAGAGGATTCCTTTCCTTTTTAATAATTTTATAAGCATATATGATGCTACTCTTTCTGTCCCTTTTGAATATTCCCAGTTTAAACTTATCGTCAGTTTCTTAAACTTTAACTACCGAATACAGAAAACATATATTGAATTGTGATATAAATTTATTATCAATAAGTTCTTTTTTAAACATAGTTTTACAATATTCCATTTATAATACACACACAGATATATATGTGTGTGTGTGTGTGCATATACATACATACATATATGCCGGTTCATGTGAGAATGACTCTTGGTAAAGAAATGAGAATAGATGTTGATCATTGGATCAAGTACATCAGACCACTTGTTGGACATGAGTTCAAACCCCTTTACTATTTCTTCTGGAATATTTTTTTGTTTTGATGAATGACAAACAGGATGATTAATTTCAAGCTGATCGAAAATTTATTTTCGTATCGAGAAAAGCAAAGAAGGGTATCAAGAAGTTTACGGCGATAAAAATCGACGATCACCCCTACGCAGATTTTTTTTGAAGTGAAGTGAAGACTCCGAAGACTTTTTATTTTTTATTAAGTCTAGGAATCTTTGTAAGGATGACAATATTTTCTGCACAAACTCTGAGGGATAAAAATAATTATTTTTGAGTCAGTTGAAAAATTACCTTTTCCTCTGTCTAAAATATTTTAGTGAGTCAGTTTCAAAATAAGTGTGTCAAAATTTCTTTAAAACATTTTTATTAAGATTACACAATTTTTTTGGTAAGAAAAATTATATTTAAATATTTTTTGTGTACATCGTTTGACACACAAAATAATTTTTGGACTCCTTCTGTAACGCCCTACAACCCGGTCTATTAGAATTGATTATTTTAAATAATTAATTACTGTTCCGGTCCAGAGTTGGGGAAAATAAAAAAAAAGTTCTTAGAAAAATTATTTGAACACGTCATTAAATTTGTTTTGACTGTCTGATTCCAAAAACGTAAACGGTTTTAGATTTGGACCCATTCAGGGGAAAAAGCGCGTACCATTTAGGTCAGATTTTACACCACAGAGTAGAGTTTAGGGGGATAACTCCCCATTTAATTCCTTCAAGAAACTCACGCCACTACACCTTCCCTCACCATTCATTTTCCACATTTTAATTCACCATTAACACTCATTACTCCATCATCAATATATATCAACTCCCTCTTCATTTCCTTCACCTCCCTCACATTTTGGTAACTCCCACTCACATCATCTCCTTTCCTCCTTCCCTTTGTGCATTTTTGGCCAACCCACAACAGCTCAAGGAGGGATTCCGGGAGTAGGCGAGGAGGTGGAAGAGAAGGAAGTTCACGCGAGAAGCCGATCGTTCGTTCGTTCGTTGGTCCATTCGTTACCATCATCCGTTCATTTCGTTTCTGTTTCATCAACCCCATCATTTAGAGGTGAGTAGTTGTCCCTCTAATTCTAGAACATCAAGTCATAATTTGTGTTGTTATATTCATAGGAATATCGTACGCAACCTACGTAGAATCTATGCATGTTCGTAGGTTAACCATCAAGCATACGTGTGTCCATGTTATCAAGTTATGTACTCGTTAATATAAACATTTTGAAACTCCGTATATTCATGGAATACTTAACATGTAATCATAAACGTTCGTTTCAAAAACTCCCAATGTATAGATGATAAGCAAACAGTCAAAATGGGAATCAGCGTGCCTTGATAATCGATTTACAAAACGGAATAATCGACTATCAGGTCACGCTAAACTCTTCAGTTGATCCAGCATAGTGTGACAATCGATTATCACATAAGTGGTAATCGATTATCAGGCCCTGCGGATTCTGGAGTCAGAGCTGGTTCACTTGACAATCGATTATCACAGAGCAATAATCGATTATCAGGCCTCTCTGGACTTGGAACATCTAGACAAACCAACTTGACAATCGATTATCCTAAGGTGACATTCGACTTTCATAGGTTGCAGAACTTTGGGAACAGAAGCTGCCATGCTAGATATTCGATTATCACCAACAAATAATCGATTATCAGCCAGTTCTGAACCTAAGGCCATCATGTTGAACAAATTGTTTCCATACGGAATCAAACATATATGTATGCGTTGAATTTAATTTCATTCTTCAATCAATGCATTCTTTCCATCATGTTCATCCTAGACGCATGTCCTAGGTTTTTTTTATCATCATGTGCATACCGTTGTAGGGAGGTTAGGCTTTCGTGCGCCTACTACAGTGGGCCCGTCCAAGAACCTTTGGGATCCAACGGGTTTTCATCAGGTGGGCTTTGTGTACGTACATGGTAGTCAGGCTACGGCTACCACCCGGTTTTTGCTAGTTCACTTGCGACGTTTTGTCGAGCCCGGGTCATTACCGGAGTGCAGGGGTGATCCTGTCAAGTGAGACTAAGTCAGGGGTGTCCTAATAACTTAAGTCATGCATCAAGTCATATTGTCATCATGTATGTTTCATGTCACGTCAACATTCAATGTGGTTGTTATTCATTTTGTTATGTGTAACAATATCCCATCAAGTGTAAATTAATCAGTTAGCAAACATGTGGTTTTCCGTACGTTAAGTACAGGTATTTATATGTGTATAACCATATGGGTTATCACTTCACGTTCTTTTGTTAGATTCACTCCTTAGCTTTTGCTGAGTGTGTAGTTGTTTTTGCTACACGCAGGTAGACATGACGGTACAGGTGCTAACCCTAGAGGACAGTGATGGTGGGAAGATGGGCGGCGCATGGACAAGTTCAATAATTAAATACATTTAATTAATTAATCATTTGGGCATGAACCCACCATATGTCGTTTTATTTATTTTGGACTTATCAATTTACTTCCGCTTTTACTCTGCATTTAAATCACACATGTTTTGAAATTAATTCNGTGTAGTTGTTTTTGCTACACGCAGGTAGACATGACGGTACAGGTGCTAACCCTAGAGGACAGTGATGGTGGGAAGATGGGCGGCGCATGGACAAGTTCAATAATTAAATACATTTAATTAATTAATCATTTGGGCATGAACCCACCATATGTCGTTTTATTTATTTTGGACTTATCAATTTACTTCCGCTTTTACTCTGCATTTAAATCACACATGTTTTGAAATTAATTCCTTAGCATTTATTTCACCAATTAAACTCAACCGTTTCCATAATAAATAGTCATTAATGCATTTTCCTCTACGGACGGTTCTCGGACCGCCCATGTAACCCTACCGGTCCGTTGAGTCGCGGTGAACCGGGTCCACGGA